TATATATAGTAAATATGATTATATTCATAATATTTAATTAATTAATTTATGATTAAGTTAATATATAGAACCTATAATGTTCTTATTTATTTATTTAATAAGTATTATTGTACATATAGTATATAATATATAGTAAATATTTTTATAATCATAATATTTAATTAATTAATCAATTAATTATTATTATTTTAAATTAATATATAGAACCTATAATGTTCTTATTTATTTATTTAATAAGTATTATTGTACATATAGTATATAATATATAGTAAATATTTTTATAATCATAATATTTAATTAATTAATCAATTAATTATTATTATTTTAAATTAATATATAGAACCTATAATGTTCTTATTTATTTATTTATTTCATATTTAAATATTATTATATACATAGTAAGTATAATTAAAATCATATAATAATTATGATTTCATTAATACATTAAGACACTGCATCTGTTATTCTACAGAGAATAAATAAACATGATTAACCAACTTATGTATAATTAATCATTACATATAGTGTTGTCATTTTTAATGGTTTGACACAAAAATTTGTATTGGACTAATGAAATTCCTCTAAAGCTATTCAGTTAATTCCTGTCATTCCTATTCAAATTAATTTAAGGAAGCCAATTCATTGTGCTGTGATTTTGCCCAACCCTGGAAATTACATGAACATGACAGTATGTCTTTTTACTTTAGTCCTCCATATGAAAACATCTCAAAATGGACTTGGGGAGACTATCGTTGGATTGTGACAAGTAAGTCAAATCATAACAGACATTTCAAAAAATGAATAAATGAGTATCTATATAAGTGGACATGTTTTTCCTCACCACATCTCTGTTGATCATTCACTCAGAGAAACTGACCCCTTTCGGAGAGGCCCTGACCAATCAGGCGCTGAGGCTGTACAATAGCTCAGCCCCGTGCCCAACCTCTGACCGGTGCCCAGAGCGGCTCTTCACCACCATGGTCTCTGACATGAGGGCCACCTGCCCCAGGAACGACCTGGCTAAGAGAGCTGCAGGTTCAAATGAATTTTTCATTGCACAATTCACAATAAAAGCAATTGAGCTTTATCAACACTGAATATTTTATCATTTGTGAGCTCCAATAAATATTTCATGGTAAGTGGCTGTATAATAAGCAGGATAATGAACAGTGAGCTGGTCATTATCTCAAAATAAACCCATTCAGGATGATACACGACCACTCTGCTATTGACTGTCCATTATGCTTAAATTTGTGATCCATAGTCAGTTGTTTAAAACTAAAATCTTTGCATTGATGTCTCATGTATTACAGAAGCCTTAAAGAGCCCAGTGTACCGTTATCTGGTGACTTACACTCCATCAAAACAGGCAAACGTCTCCAGCTGTCTTCCCTTCCCCGGTCGCTTTGCCTTTCATTTTCTAGACAGCCTGGCCTTCTTCAGGGGTCTTGAAATGGTGCTGGGGACCCTGTCACCGGCTGATATCAGCTTCCAGGAAATGATCACCAAGTATTTTGTACATTTTGCCAAAGAAGGTAATGTGAGATTTCCCATACTACTAATATAACACTTGAAATCTATAGTAAATGCTTGACCCTATTTCTTGAGATTTAATGTTGAGTACATTCGCTACCGTTCAAAGGTTTGGGCTCAGTGAGATTTTTATGTAGTTGCTGAAATAAAACAAATCTTTTATTCTACAAGCATGCATTATATTGATCAAAAGTATAATATTACAAAATAATATATGAAGCAGCACTACTGTTTTCAAAATTAATAATAAGAAATGTTTCTTGGGCAGAAAATCTGCATATTAGAATGCTTTTTGAAGGTAATGTATAATGTAATGATTAATGTAATGATGCTGAAAATTCAGCTTTGCATAACAGGAATAAGTTACATTTTACAAAATATTACAATAGAAGACAGCTATCTTAAATTGTAATAACATTTCACAGTATCAATGTCTTTACACTGTATTTTGATCAAATAAATGCAACTCTTGTGAGCATGAGACATTTTTTAATTTACTGACCCCAAACTGAAGTGATAGTGCATCTATTATGCAACATTGTTTTCATCAATGAAAATAAATTGAACAAGAGTGCAATAGCATGGTTCTGGAATTAAAATATCCTATATTTTTTCTCTTTTTTTTCTCCAACATTTTTCATTGATATAATATAAACATTTTAAGAAAACCCTCCCATGAGCTCTGAAGTTTTTAATGAAACACTTCTGTTAAGCCACAATCCAATATGCTTATTATACTTTTATTATAATGACTTCTAGTTAAATGTTTTATAACATACTGTTGTTTCTGATTCATTTGTCATTCGCAATGCATCATGGGACGACTAGCAACACACCACGATGCCACTGCCAAGACAAGACAAGGAATGTTGGATCAGATCCCAACAGAAGATTTTGTCTGATATCCAAAACTAGTCAACAGCTGGTTTTCTCAGTTAAAGGGATAGTTCACCCCAAAATGAAAATTACCGCACAATTTACTCAACCTCAAGCCATCCTAGGTGTATATGACTTTCTTCTTTCAAACAAATCCAATCGGGGTTATATTAAAAAATGTCCTGGCTCTTCCAAGCTTTATAATTGCAGTGAATGGTTGAGATTTTGAAGTCCAAAAAAGTGCATCCATCCATCATTAAAAGTGCTCCACACGGCTAAAGGAGGTTAATACTTCTTGTAGTGCTGGGCAATAAAACAATAACGATAATTATCGAAATACAGTTTTCTTCAATAAAACGTTAACAAAAGTTTGATAAATATTCAATATAAGTTTTATTCACCAAAAGCGGAAGGAAACAGAACTACTCATCTGAAATGCGCCACATGGAGCATTTATCCAAAGTTCAAACAGCAGCGCAGCGTGAGCTCACTAGAGCAGATGCGTTTACTCGCTGATAACTCTCGGTTACATGACCGCTAAACAGTGCTGTGAGATCCAGTGAGAAGCACTTCAATTCAGTGGATCAGTGATTTAAACTAGTTTAAATCCAGATGAAACAGCACTGACAAACAGAAGAAACACTGCTCAACTGCGCAATCCTAAGCTGGTTGAAACTGTATTGTGATCAGTGTGATCAAATCTTGCCTCTAACGTTCCAAAACTCTTCGTAACCTCACAGGTAGGATGCCAGATGAGTGGCCGGAGTTCCCCTCAAGCATCGCCCTGCTGGACAAGAACATTTCTTTCGTAACAAGCTACTCTCGCGAGAGGTGTGACCTGTGGGAGGAGAACGGCTTCTACTCGTACGCCTGGATCAACTGAGACGCCATCATCATCATCATCATCACTGGTTGTATTGATCCATCCACTGCACTTTCATCCGACTCTGTGACTTAAACAGCACTGACACATTTTATAAGACTTTATAAGAGCATTGGGGTGTATTTTGCGTAGTTGTTTGCATCTACAGGAAAATAGCTGTGTTTCCATAGGAAAGGAAACTCACAGAGATCTCTTCAAGGTCTCAATCGTTTCTTCTAGACAGCAATGAGATTAAATCGAGCTCAAATGAAGACTCTGATCTTTCTAATGGAGAAAATCTATAAAGTTAGACACCACAATAACTATTTTTTCCAAGACCAAATTGTTTGATCTATCTATCTATCTATCTATCTGTCTGTCTGTCTGTCTGTCTGTCTGTCTGTCGATCTATCTATCTGTCGATCTATCTATCTATCTATCTGTTGATCTATCTATCTATCTGTCGATGTATCTATCTATCTGTCGATCTATCTGTCTATCTATCTATCTATCTATCTATCTATCTATCTATCTATCTGTCTATCTATATGTCTATCTGT